CCTGAACTCTGAGTTCCGTTCATGTACCCGGGCAAGCGCTGATGAAATAAACTCAAGTATCGTCATGTTACGCGCTGTGCGTGGAGTACATTCGCCTCCCTTTACCTCCGCCTGCTCGAGCGGCATTCAAACTGTAACGAACAACTGAATGTGGTTTCATCAGCACTGGCAGGTTTCGACACGACGACTCTGACGGCAGACAAGAAGAATGGCAGTGCGGCATCATGACACCCCCTTCACCACTCACCTGCTTCTTCCTGTCTGGTGTCAGGTGCGAGGAGCGATGGCGAAGACAAGAAACCCCTCGTCATGGCGTCCAACAACCGATGGGCAACCTTCGCTACAGATGAGGATGAGGACGATGACGAGGAGGATCAGGCCACCTGACTGAGCAAACGGTAGGCAATGGTCTAGGTGCTACAAGTAGTTCGATGACCGTCTTGGGTCATAGGGTATAGTCTTCTCTGCCCCCCATGCCCCCTTCGCGTTGTCGGTGAACGTCTCGCGCGCCTCGTCCCGAAGTTTTCGTGATAAAAATCTCTTGATGCGCCCTCCTTCGTTTCTCACTCACTATCCTTCACCCGTTTCCCCACGCTTGCGTGACGTTGAAGGAGGGAAGCCTGCCGACGTCACGCCCGCCAATTCGCCCACCGGCAGGGGGCGGAGTCGCGACAAGTCCCCAAGTCCTAGTCGCTGCGGGGCCAACAAAGGGCGGGAGCACTGCTGAATCAACAGGGTTGGCGGTGTTGCTCACCTGGTACTACAAGGGGGGCTCCGTTCTGCTGCCCAAAATAGAAAAAGTACTTAATATGAATGAGAGGGTCGAGATTGTCGAGATTGTCCTTGCAGAGGTACTGCAGTCGTATTTCGGAATGAGGGTTACGAAGACTATCCTATTCCTGGATTTCGCCGCAAAGAGCACACCGTGTTTCCTGATCCGTACGCTCTTAATCATCCATTTCGATCGCAAGAAGGTCGTCAACAGAGTAGCAAGGAGACGACAGCGGTGTTTGAAGTTTGTCGCGATCACTCCCATCGGCAGCGTTCATTTTTTGGATGCACACTTGCTTCTCATCCACAATGAGTGACTCCAGCGAATTTTGCGCAAATAAGAGTGTTCATCTGTCAAGATAGCAGTCAGGGAGTCAACGCTCCATCGCGTGTGACTATAGGTTCGGGCTGACGCTTTGGATATCAATCCAGACAGCAGCAGTGACTACTTGTTGTATCACACTCATGAAGCGCCCAGGATCGAGCATGCACCATCGGGAGCGACGTTGTTGTGCGTATTAGATATAGGGCGTCGAGGTCACGGCTGTGGGGGTATAACGCACGGTGTGTAGGATATGTGCCGACCGCGAGCGATACTGGAGGCCGTGAGGCAGGCGGGGAGTGAGGAGGTGAGAGCAGCAGAGAGCAGAATTCGCGAGTTTGCGAGCGAGGGCGTTCAGCAAAGAAGGAGGCGGTATGGTTCAGAACCTTTTTTTTCTTTCAGGCTGAGCTGTTGCGCCCTTCGCCGTTCGCCGTTCCCTCGACCGCACTTTCAATCGAGTGTGAGTGAGCGTGCACCAAGAATCCAAGCCCAACAAGCGTCACCTGTACTCCCAGTGTCAGCTCTCAAAGTTAGTCCTGTTTGTGAAAATCTGGGAAAAGGGAGGACGAGGCAGCGAAGAAGAGAGGAAGGTGAGCTACAGGGATGTGTATACTGCTGCGCAGCACTGGTGTTCGTATTTGACTGACTACAATGACACATCACATTTTGGAGCAGCTCTTGCCTCGAGAGCTCGTACAGTCCAGGCCACATGTATGCAATACTCTCGACCTCCCTTCTGTTCTCCCGGTATACTCAATAGTTCCCCGCACCGTGACATACAAAACATACAAGGTAAATGGGGAGAAAACCGAGTTCAGTGCACAGCCTGTGGTACGTGTCTACAGCAGTGCATCAGCAATCAGCAACACCTTCCAACAGGGTAATCTCTCTTCGATACAACGCCTTCGAGAGGGGGGAGGGGTCGGGGGACCACTCATCGTAGGCTAAGCCATTACTTACTGCCACAACACAGGGTAGTCGTACGTAAGTATTGTTACACGTACGTAACCACGGGTCAAGCAGAATCGGCCATCTGTATACCGGCACGCTGAACAACCCTTTCTCTGGATCGCACTATGCTCTGTTGCAGTACTGCTATCGAGGTGCACGTCTTTATGAAGATGGAGATGAACCATTTCACGGAGCAAACCGATCACATGTCATCCAACCAGGTAGCAACCGACAAGAGACGTATCCCTACGCCCCCAGGCAAAAGCTCTTGTACTGGTAACACAAACTTCTGACATAGCGCATGACTAAACAAGGATGTGCTTGGTGTGTTTGAAGCCCTCCAAAGTTTCACATCTTCCATCCGGCGTTTCGCACTATATTGTCGTTGTTCTCCGATTGCTTTATTTCTTTTTGAGTTTCGCACGTGCTTACCAAGCGCAAGCACAGCAGCTAGAGCACCAGACAAAGATCAGACTGGCTCAGGACTGGTCACGAGGTAATGAACGGCTACATCAGTGCGTCGCCCTCCGCTTGACTTGGTAGTCGCTCGCACCCCATGGGACGATGGTTTGAGCAAGAACCAAAAGGATGCAATGCGTTGTTTGAGTACCGTCCCGCTTTCCCAACTGATTCGCTCTTCCCTCGACTAACAAGTGCGAGCTTAGCGAGACGTCCGAAAACCATTTACAATATATTGGTGTAATCTCGGTATGATATTCGATGCCTCCCCGGCAGACTTGGGTGACATCAAGAACACAACTAACTGTCAAGCTAGCCGGGCACGGGGAACCCCTACACAACGTTCCCTGGAAAAGGTCGAACGAACAGGCCAACACTGACACCAAATTTGAAATACAATGTTGGAACAAGGGCCTCTTTGAACTCGAAACGATGGAGGAGGTCTTTAATACGCAGCGGAGAGAATTGCCTACACTGAACAGATCCTGTACTGCATGGTCAACTGTCAGATTCGAATAGTTGCGGACGATGGAACAAACGCATGGAGGGATCGGAGCCTGTTTTATCTCGAGACATGTCCTGCTCAACAGTCGGTGGCGTCCTGTTCAATCTTCACAGGTCCTACCCCTCTGCCGGCCTCTATCTGAACATTGATCCCGCAATCTTGATTTGATGTTGTTTCCCTCTACCAAGACGCCTTGTTGACCTCCAGACTTGAATGACATTGAATGCCGCCCCCCTCTTTCTTTCGCTTTGTTGTCCGCCGATGTTTCAGCACAGCACCAAATGGCATATGTTTATGCCTTGTTTGCATCCCGACTTGCGAATTGTACTTTCTCTTTCCTTCGCCAAGTCATGCCGCGAGTCAGCGCGAGCACCCCAATCAACGAACATCCAAGTCGGACGGGACTAACTACACATCCACCCTGTGCGCCGCCTCGCGACCTCATACCTTGGCTCTTTTACGGCCGTTCCAGGGGCGAGAGCTTGCTGCTGTAGCACTGCTTAACAGGACAGTGCACAGGCGTACACCTTTCCAAACTGAAGCGCCCCTCTGGTACTCGCAGGGCGCTGTTGCTGCGGTAGCAAACCATGTCGGGGGGCAAAGTAGTGCTTGATATCGTCCACAAGGCGGCAGTGGTGTCGCTCCTGGCAAGTACCGCCTATGGCACATATTTTGTGTCTTCCGCCATGATGGAGCTGCGAAGAATGGGACAAGACGCGGCTAAGAACCAGGAAGAAAAGGCACCAGCGAAAACTCAATAGTGCTTTGTTCTCTATGGTACGAGTGTGCTTTGCGGCCGTGACGGTCAGTGGGTGTTTGTCAAGCTTTCCGTTTGTGCTTTGCATTGTTTGCACTGCTGTGTTCGGGTCTTCGTCTATTCGGGGGGCTTTGTGTCCGGTCTATCGGATATCCGTGAACTTGAGTACCCGTTGTCTTTTTACCAGAAAGATTGGGATGGTTTGTGTGGATTCCAGCGGCTATTTCACCGTGAAGGGAGTACAAAACGATGGCGGCACGTGGGTGTAGTGCGTGTTTCCGCCCTATTCTGGGCGTCAGTTCAAACCTTCGGGGCATTTGCTTAACGCACCGGCCGGGGTTAGAAAGGAGACTACACACCGAGGAGTTGCTCTTTATCCGCATTTCCTCGTGAGGTGTGATGCCTTAATTAGTTCTCGTGGCGGAAAACTTGGACTTCGTGGCGACCCCCTAGTGCACATCCTTGAACGGCATTCCTTTGAATGCATGATGGTCCCAAACTCATCACTAGGATCCCGTGGTTGCAGATCAGAGATGCGCAACATGCAGCACCAGTAGTGGTAGACTTCGGGGTTTAGTTACTCTGTGTCGCATTGTTGTTCATGAGTTTCAACCCGGGAAACATGAGCATTGTAACCTGCTGGCAGCACCTACAGCATGCTTCTTCTACGTTCTGAACGTAGGTTACACGTTGTTCGATAACCCATGGTGAATATTGTTCGGAAGACACCCATCGTAAACTATTTACTCGCATTTTGGATCACCCAGATTACTAAATCCGGTGGGTGCGTGCGACGGGCCTGGTACAGACAATGCCAATACTGGGACGCCGATTGTTTATTTATCCTTCCGCGCGCATCTACATCTACTGTAGACAGGGAAGTCTTGTAGAGCTGCGAAGCGTCCATTAACGGAGCATTCACACCGCTCGTGTAAACGTCATGTTGTGTACATCCTTAGACGACTTCGGCGAGGATGGATCAACCAACTTGTGATGACGTCACAAGAACACGGCATAACTTGCTCGCCTTCCATGAATGGGGAACACGTTCCTGCGTGTTGCGTTACCAGTCATGGACGTCGGGCGGTTTCGATACCATCAGTCTGAGGGTGGTTAACAGAAACAGGATACCTTTCGTTGCGTGTCAGTCGAGATACTACAAGGGCAAGGTCCAGCTACTCATCGGAGGGCACCACCATAGTACAGTACTCCCCGAAATACACCAACGAACGCCTCAAGTGTAGAGGGCCAAACACATCCAGTTGGGCTAGTCTATGATTACAAAAAAAAAAAATCTCTCGTCCACACCCTTCTCGGGAGAAACAAACCCGGGCTGTTCCGCAGTTCCATGGCCACCTGAACCAATGCCTTAGGGTTTAACTACGTAAAACCGTGGGAGGAACTAGTAGTTCGCCCGCCTGCCCCCCCTCCACTCCCGACTCTCGCTCCCGACACAAAACCACCCCTGAGCATATCAAACGGAACTACAATCTACTTGCCAAACCCACTTTCGTAACCTCGTAAAACACAAAACAAGAACGCTAGCATCAACCCTCTCGAACACCTCCAGGTATACCTTGGTTCCCGCAAGCATCAACTCCTAAGAGGCTTCAACCCAACGCAGGACTTGTGTTGTGCATACTGTGACAGACGTGCGCAGCTCACATTGCACTCAAACGCCGCCCCAAGCCAAAACATTTACCACTTTCTACTACTGCAATCGGAGGCTTTTATCTATATATAGTGTTTGACGACTGGCCTTCCATCAAATGACGAAGACCTCGACTTGAATGTGGTGCGACAGGGCTGTCAAGGCGTAGAATGCTCCAGCGAGCGCCAGCACAGTGGCCGGGGCAATCTTGAGCATCTTTGAAGACGCCTGGATAACACAGGTTTTCAATCAAGGGCACAGGTTAACATGCATCCACCACCCGTCGGGGAAGGAAGGAAAATTTACAACGTGGCACGAACACACATTCTTGTTTTTCTTTTGTTGTGATGTCGCGCCGTCTGTCATCCGGAATAGAGACAAGCGCCAGAACATGGGGGTGAGGGTATCTTCTTCCTTGCCGTTGGGAATCCAGCATAGTACCCGGGCATAGCAGGTAAGAATCCCTGCTCTTCTCTACTTCGGGGTACCGACATCGTTGGTCGATACGCTGCAGGGTAAGCCCGGCAAACTGTCCATGATGTGCTGCATGTGGAATGCTGCACGCACATCAAGACTCCCGTCATCAACGGGGGAAACCTATTAATAGTAATATCACCCCCTCGACAGCCCCTACAACAAATAAGTAACACGCTCTATCTAATACTGTTGTCCTGGTGGCAAAGGCAACTTTCCCGCAAAACAAGAGGCCGCAAGCGCTCGAAACCGAAAACAGTGGAACATTTTACGCGAGTGACGAGAGACTGGAAATAATCACGAACTGGACACAACGTTTGCGCCAAGAAGACCAGGTCCAATCTCGGCCTACCTGGCTGACCAAGTCTGTCTCTCGTCTCTCTCCCAGCTCGTATACCACGCCGCACTGCGTGGCCACGTACTGCGAATAGCAACACAGCACGGGGGGAGGAAAGGATAAGAACTCCAGACGGAAGACAGCAGGTCATTATGTAGGGGAACGCAAAACCCACGTGCATCGTTGCTGCGTTATCTTGCTCAGCCTGCAAGTCATACTGAACACTTTCAACACAAAACAAAATGATGAGTGGTTCACTTACAAGTCAATCCTTGCGGCAGACTAAACTGTGCCTAGATGTCTGAACTTTCACGATGACAGGAAAGGGTGGGAGGCTGTTTTCCTGACATTTAACATCCCGTCTTCAACGGTTTAGAAGGTCCCGACCTTTAGTATGAACATACATAGAAAACTACACGCTTTTAGAAATCATCTCCATCGGGATGGTACAAAAATGCCCCCTAACGCCGCAAGCTTTGGATTATACCTGGTCTTGTATTTTCCTGCCCGAAATGTCGATCGGCGCTGTGGTCATCGCCGTCCCGTCGGCCAAGCCTCGCTGCCCAAACACGTTTCCGCGGAAAGAACCCATTCCCTCGCCCTCGACGATTTCCTCCCATTGCTCCAGCACGGGAGGCTGGGTTGTGTCGGCCAACAGGCGTTTTGAGAGCGGGGGGATGGGGAGGGTCGAAGAGTTGGAACCTTTGCGTACAACTTTGCGGCACAACGGGACAACTGGGCTTGACTACCAACGGGAGAGCTGGATCACACAACAGAGTGATGCCTTCGTCGGTAATCAACACCACGGAGCGAACCACAGCTTGTGACCCATCGAGACCTACCTGAATGTAAAAGTTGTCTAATGCCGGTGAGCCTGCCATAACCTCCCCCCTTTCTCTCCGGCTCCCTCCCTCTGCGCCGCCCGCGCTGAGCCTCCCCGTGAGTCTCAACCATCTCTCCCGCGCCTCCTGCGGAGTCCGCTCCATGAGCTCGGGCACCTCTCGCACCATGCGCCGCCACAGTACGTGTTTCCCTGAACCGATTGCGTATCTGTTCATGGCCGGTTAACACAAAAGGATACGGCGGTATGGGTTTGGGAAAAGTGGAACGTTCCACGTTAATTTGTGCATCTTGGCTTCGCTCGGGGCGGGCATGCCTTCGCGGAGATGACTAGGTTTTCTTGTGCAGTATTGGCTCAAAAAAGGTACCCCACGCATTGAAATCACAAGGCCAGTGGCGGTGGGGGCAGAATTGCTGCATGGAGATGGGCAACGGGGGAATCGTTTACTAATCAATGACTACTCCGTGTCCCGGGGTTCTCCACAAACGAGCAATGCTTCGTGTATCGCTCACAGCGTCATGCAGGCGAACTCATTTGCTCTCGTCACCTGATGATTGACGATGCATCTCTTTCTCACGCCACCGTGCCTACAATCAACACCAAAGCCTATCAACCACGACAGCCTCGAAGCACTGGTAAACAAACGAGCAACGCGCGGATCATGGTGTACTAGTAGCCCGGGCTGCTTGCCGTCGGGAAAACGCGGCGCAGCATGAAGATGCTCGGGCTGGATTATCACTACACATACCTGAACCGTAGCTCAATATTGTCACCACCATCGTACCGTATGTACCAACATCGTCCAACCTCAAAGAGCAAAAGCTTGGTCTGAAGCAGGGTGGAGTGTACCATGGGTAGCATACCAGGGCATGTATCATAAAGCAGCCGCCTGTTCGTCTTTCTACCACATGTATCAAGCTCACCTACCGCTGCTCACAAACACCACCTGGATCAATGTTCATACCTCGAGTACGTGTCTTGAAGGAGCCAGTCCTCGAACTCGGTCCATGCAGCCTCTGCCCCGCCCTCCCACTCAAACTCTCCCGCCAAGTTCCCTTCCGCCGCCTCCCCCCACTTACCTACTCGTACCGCCGTTGCTCCTTCTGCCCCGCTACTGCTGCCTCCCTCTGTTGACAATGGGATCAAAGCTCCATTTGCGAACCCGCCTGCTGGGTGCTCGCTCCCTTCCACTGCCTGCGTGACAACCGCACTAGGTGATGAAGAAGTAGCCGACCCTGCGCCCGGGCCGTTGGCACCGGTCTTCGGCGTGCTGCTGCCGGAAGGAGAAGCACCAGCGTGGGAAGTCGTTGCGCTCGTTGGTCGAACACCTCGCACGGCGCAGGAGCGGTAGTTGCAGTTGGAAGCCGGCGGCTTGCTACTTGCCGGCACTGGCCTTGACGAGTCCCAAGCAGGCGGAAACGATACGGGTTCACACCAGGGTGGAAGCCGCCGCTGCGGCTGAGCGGCGATCGGGGTGGGTGCAACGAAGCCTGCCGCAAGAGGCGGCATGTTTCCGTGTCGATGGTGGGCAAGCAGGAGCGCCGCCGCAACAGCGGTACTTCGGTTTTTGAACATTACCATGCTCGTATCGTGCGCAACTGCTGCACACACCCCGGGCTGGCGACACTGCACACGTTGTCAATGCTTCGCCAGACTTCACCTTCTGCAAGGCAGAGGTATGCTCTGTGAACGGAACACAGCAAACGCCTGTGCGTGAGCAGAAAGCCAAGCTGTACAGGGCGGGGAGCAGGGAGCAGGGCAGCAGGAAGAGCAGGCAGCTGGGGGCACCGCGGATTGAATGTCCAGATCCCCACCGCGCCCGCTCTCCTTCGCTCTCTCTGGTGTGTGTGTCTCCACATGCTCCATTCCACGCTTTCCTACTGCAGCTACCAAGTGCACGTCACCATGAAGTTCACCACGTCTCTCGTCCTCAGCGGTGCAGGTGGGTGCACACATTTTCCCGCAATCCTCGGTGCAAGCGACAACGGGTTGCCAAAGAGCGTTCATCCAAAACTCTCATCCCGCCTCTTTGTCTCGCGCCCTCTGATTATCTGATTTGGGATTGGGTGTGTGCATGATGCAACGCCCGGTCGCGTCTATACCTCTTCCCCGTGGGAAAACTACAAGGGCCTTACCCATGGAGAGTGCTCTGCCACGTTGCGGTGGTTGGAGTGATTGCGTTGCTGATTTCTTTGCAGTTTTCTGGATGCTCACAAAGGTGCTCATGTGAAGCACGTGTTCTCGTTGCATGGCCTTTTTTGGCCCGCTCCTTTCGCGCATTGGCGCGGGATCCATCGCAACGCGCCGGGGGGATGTGAGGTAATCTAGTATGTTGCCGTTGCGGATCGCGGCAGCGTGTCTCACGCTTTGTCCCGAGGGCAGAGAAATTGCATGTGTCCATGGTTGTATCCTCCGATCGAATTGCGTTGAACCCGGAATCATGAAATCAAACGAAAGACAGGCGGGAAGATATTGTGCGCTCGATTTACTCACCTACATACTACATGTAACCTAGCTTTTCATGTGCAAACCTCCTTGTACCCAAATGTACCTTGGCGAAAAATATACCAGCAGGATTTAGCGGGAGGTGTGAAGTCAGTCAACGTGTTTCTACGTTTCTACAACTTCTGTGCATCCAATTGTGTTGTGCGAAAATTGTCCAGCTTTCAGCAGATAATTGTCATCCTGTGATTGCCAACATGATCGCGGGAGACAGCAGCCAGTTGTTGCTGTTGGATTGCGAGCGCTTAACTCTTGCGCAGCACCAGACAAACCTCAACGATTAGATACGAGCGTTTTCGCCTGATTCTGCCCTGAATCGGCCACCCGCCTGTTCCAAACAAGCCCTGCTATACGTCGGGTCCTGCGCTTCTTTGGCATGAAGTACACAGACATGTGCACGCGACACTGACCACGTTTATGTGTGTATACGAATGAACAGCTTTTGCTGTTTGCATGTTTTCATCAACAGAAATGTAAACAAGCCAACACAGCAGCGTCCCTCCTTGAACAGCAGTAGTATCCTGTCTTTGTGATAATACATCATTGCAGAGGAGGAAACTGGGTGGAATATATCTACCCAAGCTGACCGCCAGCATGTCAAACATGGACAGGGATCACCCCGGTTCTCAATCACGCCGGATCCATTATTGCCCCGTTTTTTGTTTGGAGCAGCGGCACTGCTGTGTCGCGCTCCCGCGGTTCGGCCGTTGCCTGTCAATCCCCCACGGCAAACTCCCCACTACTTCGCGCTGATTTTGTTTTGGGCGAAGGCAAGAAATACACTCTGGCCTGAGTCCAACACACACCCTTCCCGGCGTGGCGTCGCTCTACTCTTTCACTGTCTCTCTGTTGTGGTCGTGCTTGGGGTTGTACTAAATAATGTAATCCTCACCTCCGTGCTAATACAAAATTGTTGATGTCTCCAGCATGCGCGTCGGCCTTTGTGGGTACGCCGGTGTCCACGCGGGCATCGCTCAAGTCGTCCGCGGTGAGGATGAGCGTGTCCGACTCTATGGGCTCCCTGAGCAGGGGCGACGCCCTCAAGGTGAGTTTAGGACATGTCGTAGGTTGTGCTGTTGGGTTTATTTTTGGCGTCACTGGTTTTGCGGGTTGTTCCGACAAAAGGTGACAAACATGCCTAGTCGTAGAATGCGCATGACCGCGTGTAGTGATACAGACACATGGAATGACTTTTTGGGGTGGATCAAACTTTTTTTTTCCACGCACCTACACACACCCAGCCCAGTAATTTAAGGCGGCACCGCACGTTCTCGTATGGGGGACGCAGAGAACCTCCTAAACAAAGCGTCGTTCTGAAGTATGTGTATCCCACCGCTATACCGTACGAGTCGGAGAGATGGCACCCCCCTGGTAGCGTTTTTTTGTAGCGTATTTCACCACAACCAGGGGGTACCAGTGCCGAAAAGGGTAGTTTTGGACACATCTCGTCGAGGGCTTTCCTGAGAGGTATCGGTCGGTGTTCGCACCCTCCTACTTGTGGAGAAATAGGCTAAACGAAAACGCTAACACGGGGGTGCCATCTCTCCGACTCTTACGGTATTCGTTTCTCACGTGTTGTCACGCAATGAAAAACAGTTCTCCCCCGCCATACAATCGTGCAAAGTACCTCGTGCTATTTTCTGTCGCTTTTTTTTTTCTGTTGACAACAGGCTGCTGCTGCATCCGCGGCCGCCGCGGGCTTCGTGTTCTCGAACTCTTTCCCCGCCTTCGCCGATGGGCCGTACAATCTCCCCGACCTCCCGTACTCCTACGATGCCCTTGAGCCGTACATCGACGCCGCCACGATGAAGGTGACAGAATCGTCAGGATCTCAGTGAAGTTCAATCAGCGGTTGTTTTTTTCTTGTCGAGAGTTGGGGCACAGTTTTGGTTCTTCAGCAACGGGGTTTCCGCGAGGCTGCAGGGAAGCCAGGCGGGGGAAGGGCGACCCGGTAATTTTTCTATTTTTTCTATCCCCTACAGACAGCGACATGGGACATGCCTCGACTTCGGAGGGTGGCTCACACCCTGCCTGTTGAACGGAGCAACCCGTGCACTTACTGTTCAGAAGATGCAGTGTCGAAGATATGCGCGTATTTCCTAGGGTGTGTATACAAGTAGACCGCCTCTATGCCCGCAGGTACATCTAGTGCCCAACACGCATTTATGGCCAGCGGCATATTTTGACGAGGTCGAGTGTCAAGGTGGAACATGTCGGAATTTTTCGGCCTCGCATGCTCTTCTTGTGTTATCTTACGGCCGTTCCCTCTTGTTGCACCGGGTGTTGTCCGCGTGATCCTGCCGTCTCGGCGTGTGCCCTATCTTGCCGTTGTTTTTCTATCAACATGACACACTGCCATTGTACTATGCCCTTTCCGGTGCTGGCGATGCATCTCTGCGTCTGCTACTGGATGTTTGGGCTGGGGGGCATTGACGCCTTTACAAACCAACACCCGGGTGCGGTTTGCCTGTCTTGCTTCCTCGCGGCAGTTCCACCACGACAAGCACCACGCGGCGTACGTGGGCAACGCCAACAAGGTGAATCTGATTGGCCGGCAAGAACGGCATTCGGCCATGGGGAATAATTCCTTCGTCGTCGTACAGTACCGGTCTAGACGCTATCCGGTGTTTGCAGCGCTTACTTTTCTCTGGCGTGTTGTGTCTGTAGGGCATGGGGATTGCCAGCAGGCCCCTTTCCCGTATCACCTGCAGTCCAAAATTTCTCGCTCTTTGGTTACCTGTAGTCTTGATAATGCCTATTCGTTGACGCTCGGTGTTCATCTGTGTGATCATTTCGACCGACGTGATTCCATGTGATGTTGCGTGCTGCGGCTGGAGCAGGCCCTCGCCGGCAAGACCGCCCCTTCGCTGCTCGACCTCCAGAAGGATGCCATCAAGACCGGTGTCCGCAACGCCGGCGGCGGTGAGAACAACTCACTTGAACTTTGCTGACTTCTTGTATCTAACTCGTCGCGAACTTTAAGTTGCAGTTTATTTTCTTTTTTTTCTGCGTCTTCACGTGATAACAGCTCGCTCCGTTGCCTACGTTTCACGGCAGGCCTCATCGTTTGGTCTCTCACTTGGGCGGCTTTTGTCGACTGGTTTTCTCGATGTGACAGCCGCAATTTATTTTTAACATTTACAGGTGCCTTGATCCGTACTTCGACCCCGCTCCATGCTATGACGCTCTCAGGAGTATCTCCCAATCACCCCATGAATTTTCTTCAGCGCACGGTTTATTTTATTTTCCTGCTGCTCAACTTTGCCGCGCTTGGTCCCCGTCCCTCCTTTGCTGACCGGCTCCCACGTGTGTTTTTGTTTTGTGTTTGCTGCGGGTGTTATTTCAGGCCACTACAACCACTGCCTGTTCTGGAACACCCTGTGCAACCACGAGAGCAGCGGCGCTCCCTCCGGCACGGTACTTGTTGTGTCTTTACTGCGATACAGGATTGCTATATACCCGTTAGTGCTTGTTTCAACAACAACCGTTCTGACGTGTTTCGCTCTGATCGACCGGTACAAACAACGACGAGTCAACCAAGAAAGTCCTGCCGTAGATATTTACAAAAATGCACGCACAGTGTGTGTGTTCATTGGATCTTCTGATGGCTCTAGCATTTTTGTGACCACGGACCGAGTCTTCGCTAGATTTTGGGAATAGCATCTGACACGAGTTTAATGTGAAAATAACAACCACAGCTACGCATTGACGAAAACGTGGATGCAGGACACGCACCCCGCACGAGGATAAAGCCCTCCGTTGTAACTTTCATTTTCACTCGCAACTTCAATCAAATATGAAACAAACGAAGTTACCGCATAGTTCGTTCTTTCATCACAACATGCCAGGGTTTTGTGATGTGTTTCATCACCGCCGTCGATGAGGATCAAGATTCCTCCTATGAATAGTTCAGAGTGCCGTATCCCGTATGCCAGAGATGACATCTTCCATTCTAGCCTTTTCCGTGATCTGGATGCCCTCGGTGGCGTAAGAGGACACGACAGAAACTGCCATGGGACGTCCGTCGTATTTGGGATATTTAAGCAGGGGTTGGTGTTTCTTCGACACTCCATGGTGTCAACCCAAGCAGCACTTGCACTCCATCCACCTTGCGCTCTAACGAACGCACGAGAATTTCTGCTTCCTTACAATGTGTTTTGTAGTCCGCCTGCGTTCCCGTCTGGTATCCTTTTCATTTCCTCCGTTTCGCTCTGTACCTTTTGCACTCGTTTCTCTCTCGCCGTGTACTGGCGACATCCTCTTAATCTCGGCCCGTGGACATCGAAACCAAAAGCTGGCGAAGGCGATCGACGAGGCATTCGGGTCAATGGACGAGATGAAGGCTCAGTTCGGCACCACCGCGGCAGGCGTGTTCGGCTCTGGATGGGCCTGGCTCGGTTGCACCCCCGACGGAAAGCTTGCCATCACTGGCACCCCCAACCAAGGTCAGGCAGCGAGTGAGGAGTATCAACACATGATTGTGTTGTTGTGTGTGGAGCTTGTTTAGTTTGTATCGACGGCGCGAACCGGCTGATCTATGAGTGTGTCACCTAACAAATCCACAACCAACATGTCCGATTTCATGACCCCTTACAAAAGATGATATAGCGGAGCTCGTGAGCTCAGGGCGTTGTTGCAATTTTCTTTGGTAAATGCGATGGCTCGAGTTTCTGTCCCCTCCCCCTTGGTGTCGCATAACGGCTGGAACGTCGCTCGAAATATTGTACCGATTTTGCCGGTATCGAGCCAAGGATGATTGTTTTTGTCACGTACGAGGTGTGCGTCCATGAAGCCGTCTGTAGTCGTCGGTCTCGGCATGCATACTGACGGCACACTTTCGGCAGAAGTCCGCGGACCCAATGCTGGCAGTTTCACGACCCATGTGATGAGACTTGTTTCTCCTCGAATACCCCAGCGATGATTTCTCAGCGGCAATCTCTTCGAGCATGTTGCAGGCACCAGAATACCGTAAGCTCAAGATCGGTCATGGTCCGGTGTTGGCGCCCCATATGTAGCTCGCGCGTTGCTATGGACGCGTAGGAGATGCTTGCCTTTTTACCGGAGAGCGTTTGCTCACACTTTTAATTTTCCTGCTGACCCTACTTTTTGTTGAAGTCCCCCCCCCTTTCTTCCTCGCGTGAACGCTAGACAACCCCCTTATGGAAGGCGCAGCCGGCACGGCGATGGTGCCTATCCTCGGCCTCGACGTGTGGGAGCACGCCTACTACCTCAAGTACCAGAACCGCAGGCCTGAGTACATCAGCGCTTTCTGGAACGTAGTCAACTGGGCGGTGGTAAGTTGATGGAACATAAACATTTGTAACGGAGCAGCACTTCGCTGTTTAGCGATCGCAGGTGTATTTGTACAGCTTCCTTGGAGTGCTCGTGTGCCCGTGCTACATCAAGCACGTCCATGATACTTCAGTGATACCAACGCGTAATCTTGGGTACATGCGGCGCTCCCTGTGACGTCAACTGGGCGGTTGCGTTTCCATTTTGGACGGCGGTTGCATTTCTGGTTACTACATTTCCGGTGCTCCGGTTCCCGGAACGACCCTTCCGTGTGGCGTCCGTGAAACGATAGAAAATACGAACTTAGCCTGATGCTCGTGTCGCTCTACCAAGAAACCCCCCTCACATGGCTTGGCACTGAGGTTGATGGGGTGCTACTGGCGGATTGCCATGATCCAGTGTGATCGATCGCACGATGTGATTTTGCCTCTGGTCGTAGTGTCGATGGGCTGGAATCAATCGTACAGCTGGCTTGGAATTGTGTGTAGAGTCGTGTTGTGGATTCAATTATTTTTCCGACTCAACTTTCTTTGCTGCGAAGAACGTATTGTCGCCACAGGATGACCCCGATAGTGTCTCATCCAAAACATTCCAAAAATGGGTTACGATCCAACGCCTGCCGTGCGACTCTAGGCAGGCGTTGCAGTAACTCTTTCTTAGCCGGACGCGTCATGTCTTTTGGCGCCCCGCCTCCATGTCTTTGCCAACTCTGTATCTTACTGAATCTCGCCTCGTCCGCCCCATATCTCCTCGATCTTTTCTGGTATCATGCAACAAATTATCAGGTGTCTGAGAACTACGAGATGTACGCATCCCAGGGCAAGGGTGTGCCGGTGCAGGGTTAACTCGTTCGCGACCGCACAGACTGGGCGTGATCGAGCAGGCCAGACGTCGCAATGTAGTCATTGCGATTATCTTCCACCACGTATGTTGGGCGACCAAAGGGTGCAGTAGTCAGTAGGTCTTGCCAACGCCCAAGAAAACGTAGAATCTAGTTTTATTCAACAATAATCCAATAGAGAACTGACTAGAGAAATTAGCGGGTTGCACGTACCCCGGCTAGCCGCGTGTCGAAGAAACGGGCGCGGGGCGGGGCATTGCTTGTGTATGTTGTGTGCGGCAGTCAGTAACATGACGATAATGACGACACGAAGCAACATAGTATTTGCCTTCTTTCTTTTAAACCACCATCCACGCAAGGCACTGCAACGCCGTGCATTGGTGAAGGCACGTGATGAACATACAAGGCTGAGACTAGCCATGTTGTTTGTTCTTGGTTTTCCCTCGAGAAAATCAACACGTTTGTTCATGGGTTCACAACCTCGATCTTTGGCGCCGACCAATTTTCCGCACAGTACCGACATTGCCGGGGGAGGGCAGCTTTTTTTGTAGAGTTCCATGAGACGTGTTGCGCTGTTTGGTTTGCAAGTCGCTCATCGGTTTACGACAGCAATCGTGATGTTACCTTCCCGAATGTCGATTCGCAAGCTGCTGGTACGCATACGACTGCTGTACACGGGTTGCCCGCGAGGTTGTTCCCGAATACCGACGGCAGCAGTATGTCCGCTAAACGCAAAACGGTCATCGGCCTTGGTCGTGAATCACCGAACCTCTCGTATACAGAGTAGTTGCACTGGTGTAGCACCGGTTGAACACCAAGTCTCGAGCACCTTCTCAACAATCAGGAGCCGCAAGCTCAGGTGTCGGCAAGATACCTTCGACGGTCCGGCAGTAACTCGATTCGCTTCCTCTGCAATCCAGCAGTGTAGACTTCACTCTCCCATCTATATCTCATCTATGTTCCGTGGCAGATTGTTATGTCGCACGGTGTTCACGGGCGTGTGTAGATCTGGTATGTGAGAGGGCTGAAGGTACGCATGGCAGGAGTTGCGTCCGAAGTGACGGTTGACGGTTGACGAGTTTTGTGTGGGTTCTGCTGGAACTCTGCATCTTTTATTTTTCTTAGTATGACACAACGAAACCATCTCTATCATAGAAAAGAACTCTGCATTTTCGAATATCGGTTGATAATTATTCTTTTTTTGTACGCATGGCAGGAGTTGCGTCCGAAGTGACGGTTGACGGTTGACGAGTTTTGTGTGGGTTCTGCTGGAACTCTGCATCTTTTATTTTTCTTAGTATGACACAACGAAACCATCTCTATCATAGAAAAGAACTCTGCATTTTCGAATATCGGTAGATAATTATTCTTTTTTTGTTGGAACAGCTGCACACCGCACAATGCAGCTGTGTTCCTGCGGCCTAGACTGCTATGTCGAGCGTACCAAAGAACCAACTGTAGGCGATGGATAAGGAAGTCTATCGTAGTTGATGCGATGCATGTGCACTGGGGGTATATGGATGTTGCGAGTGGCACTAAAATCTCCGGGGCTTGTCGTGCACGAACAGATGTGACTGCCATCCGCCATGCTGCAAACTATGTACCGCATGACCCGGCAGTCACGGCTTTCCATGACTACGGCGACCGTCTCGACGCCCACAATCAACTCGCCCAGGAACTCTAGTTTCCCTAGTGCTTCCAAACGCTCGTCCCCCTCAAGCACTGCATTAGCACCACCACAAAAAATGGCGGCGGCCTCCATCTCTATGGTCATGAACCGCAACGGCCACATCACAAGTCCGAAACGGATCGGCGCCATGAACCTCTGCCCGAACCACACGTCGTCAACGCCCGGCATCGCCACAGTAGGAAGGGCAAGCCGAGCGGCGCGAAGGGCTGCCCGGTCTTCCTGCTTCTCGATTGCTCCTTCGAAGAACTCGAAGACGCCTTGCAAAGAAGTCATCGCGCCACAAACTTTCTTCATGATCCTGTTGATACCCGGCGATGATATCACGTGTGCGGGTCATGGTACGGTGATTTTTTACTGCATTGCTAGGCGTAGATGAACGGCTGCAGCACACTACATAGGTCAGTGGAATAGGAGTTGAAGATTTGGGTTGTTTCCACACGTGGTGATCCCACGCGTCGGCGCGGTTGTCCTACGACCCCGCCAAGCTAAAACGCACGAAGCGCAAACACGCTGAAATACACGAGGGCCCACCTTCCACTCGGCTGAACGTGAAAGACGAAACACTGAACGTCAGCACAGAGAAAGCCGCCGCCCAGCGGCGACGATCCTTGTACAGTTTCCGCAAGTAGTTCTCCGCCTTCGGGAAGTTCAAGCAGAGCTCCTCGAACGATTCCTCCATCCTCCGACAGCCGGCCGCGCATCTTCCGGAAGTCGCCGGCGAAAGGCTGTGAGTTAGTGGGTGGCGGTGAGGACAGCATCGACGGCGGAAGCGGCGGAGGGTTTTTCTGAGACAACTGTGTATCATTGAAGTTGGGGGTGATGGGGTGGGGGTGGGGGCTATTGGGTTCAAAGCAGTTGCCCTGCAAAGCACTTTCGTTCTGTCACAGGTCGGGTGACAACAGTACTACGCTACAGCTATAAAGAGGCGAGGCCGTTTCGCGAGAGGGCCACGGAGGCGGTTGCTTATCCGTCGTAGCCACGCCATGGGCCGGTGGGGTTTGTTGCTTGCAGATCGTTCGATGGGGGGTTACAGTCGCCGAGGCTGGGTGGTTGGACTTATGCGACAACAAACGCCACTCCAATTGTTGGATCGGGCACCCATACGACCGGCAATATAATCCCAGGGTGTGGCAACACCAGGCGCCGAGCCAAATGACACTTTTTGTTCCTAGGACGATACACACATCTCCGTTACTCCCAGTTTCATCAGTAACCACCCAAAAAGCCGGGGGCAGCCAGCGTAGCGGACGGACGGACCGTGCGGATGGGTCAGCCATGTTGGTCGCATATCTATCATGTTTATCTATCATGTTTTGCCAGAGCAATCTAAGCACAGACAAACTTCAAAGTGAATTATGTATGCACGGCAGCAGTTTTGTCTGCCACTTCACTGTCAGTATACTTACTGAGTAGAACAGGTGTTGTTTCTAATTATGGAAGGTGACGTCGAAAATCTTGTAGAACAATATACTCAAAAGACTACAAGTACAACAGCAGTACAGCAACATTACATGCAGGAACAGCAGCACATGCAGGTACATCTCCACACATATTGACACACAGACAAAATTGTTCCCACAATACTACATTAAACTCCAAATGATTACATGTATAGTTGGGTCGTCTAGCTAGTAGAAGTGGAGGATGGGGCCAGAGGGGCAGACGACAGATAGATATCCAACAATGGGAGGAAAAATATCATATCCTGCTGTCTGTTGAAATTTGATGAGCCATTATCAAACGGCGGCGCACTCATCTATGTGGCATACAATACATGTGTGGTATCTCACAATTTCCGCTGGAGCGTCTCCTTCTTCTCCTCCTGCGGTCTCTTGTCCTGCTGCTCCTTCTCCCTGCTGCTGCTGCTGCTGCTGCTGCTGCTGCTGCTGCTGCTTCTGCTTCTGCTCTTGCTGCTGCTGCTGTTGTTCTTCGGCTGGGCTTGATCGGATGCACGCACGCGTCGCCGCCCTCTACCTCGACGGCGACAACTGAATGCATATCGTCAGCTACCGTTCAAGATCCATCAGGGACATGTCTGCTGTGTGGTCTGCTGTGTTGCGCGTGCTGTGCGGCCTGGTGGCGTGGGGTGTTTCGCTGCTGCTCGTTTTGAGTTCGAAAAGGGGTTTCTGGGTGTGTGGTTCTGGAGGCGTTCGAGTCGTGCAAGTTTTTATTTGCAAGTAGGTCGTGCAAATAGGGGTAGCCATGGATGACGTGTTCGGCAGGCGGTGGAAAAGGGCCTGGATGGCGTTTTTGTAAGGGGTGCAACGCAATAGTTCGCCGGGAAGTTGGTAGAGGCGTTCGCCCCAATGGCAGTCCCGCCAAATTTATATTCCGAACACGCGCGACGACGCCATGCGTGATGAAACGTGCTGTGCCGCGCAACTTCTGAGGAACTGAGGACAGAGCGGGCGGACGATCTGCGACGTAGTGGCTGAGTGCTGATGGCGCAGGCAGTAGTGCATGTGTGAGTCAGATGCGATGAGGGACGGGATCTTTGGTGGCGAGGTGAGGAGTGCTGCGAGATTTTCGGAGAGAACAGAGGAGCGGGACATGAACGTCTCACGCCGATCCTGTATTCACCAACACCGATCTACCCAAACACCTCAAAATCCACCCCACGCGGAGGGTGCGGTAGGAGATGGAACGACCACATGTTTGTTGCGACGCCTGGCGCTCTCTCTTCGTCGTTTCCCTTCTTTGAGAAGAGAAACAGCGCGAGCGATTTCTTTCATGTGTGCTGGAAAAAACCCGAAAGAAACAAAAAAGATGTCCCTATATGCTGTCTGGGAAATCGTAGACATACAGGTACTTTTCTGACGCTATGAATCCATTGCTAATCTGTCTCAGACTCTTTTCTATGATGGAGATGGTTTCGTGGTGTCATATTAAGAAAAAAATAAAAACCGAAAAAAAAAACGACGGCGGATGGACAGCCAGCGTGGTGTGTGCGTGTCAAAGCTGTCAGCACGGTATCTTGTTTTGGTGGTCGATAGGAGTCATGATCGTACAAAGGAGACAGGCTGTACAGCATCACGGCATGCAAACGTAGTAAACATAACATACAGCTGCCTACCAAGATATGTACGACCACAGCACACACCGCCGGCGTTTGCGCTATGTAGGTGCTATGCGATCTTGCAGCTACATAGACTACAGCTATGCGATCTTGCAGCTACATACAGCTTCTTCTCCCACACATGATGAACATGCGTAGATCTACTGTAAGACACTCTGATGCATACCCACCCAGAGAGGTCTCAAAGCGAACCCAGCAGCCCTTTCAAACTTCTTGGCTGCTTGCTGTGCCTACGGCACTCTTCGTCCCACATACTCTTGAGATATATGATACAGGCATGATTCGTGTTTCGGCGCAGAATTTGAGATGACACACGCTACAGCTTGTTGTTAGCTAGGAGAGGCGGCATGTGTTTCTCTACATATCTCCTCTCTAGCCCAACCTTGTGCTTCAGCAAACCTATGTTGGAGGATCCAAACAAGATCAAGCTACAGTAGTTCGATGTCTTCAATGTAGCAGCCACACGCACATTGCACCACAGTGTATAACACCAGACTCCTCAGAAGAAGTAGCTACACAAACATACGTTGCCATCTTCGTCTACTGGTACTAACTTTGTCCTCTTTCCGCTCTCTCTCTCTCGGCATACGCAAATGGTCTTGAAAATGTGACCCGGACAACCGATAACTGAACTGCTGTAGTAGCGCACATCGCCAAA